TGGGAATAACAGAAAATTGCAACTCAAGACAACCTGGGCCTGGCAAAAACGGTAGATAAGTCCAGAAAAGAAAGCAGAAGAGGCTCTTTTACAGAGGAAGGCGGGGCTGGAAGGGCTGTTGTGAACTGAACGTCCCTTGCAGTATGGGGGCTGGAAGTGTGGTGGCGTCTCACGACTTGGCGGTGACAGTCACGTTTGCTGGGCTGTTGCGGGCGGGGTGGGAATCTTACTTCCTCTGAGCCAGTGAAGTAGTAGCTAAACTAGTACTGGTTTGCAAGGTGCATCTCTTCCTGCTGGATCTGCAACTGACCAGGGCTGTGGCCTGGGAGCCCCTTTGCTGGTCTCCTGAGGATCTTCTTGTTGTTTTTAGGTTTATTTATTTTTTGAGAGAGAGCATGAGTGGGGAAGAGGTACACAGAGAAGAGGAGGAAGGATTTGAAGTGGACTCTGCGCTGACAGCAGAGAGCCCGATGTGGGGCTTGGCCTCCCAAACCATGAGATCATGACCTGAGCCCAAGGCAGACACTAAACTGCCTGAGCCACCGAGGTGCCCCTCCTGAGGATTTTCCTTATTAATTTTCCCACATTATCATACTATTTTACGGAAGAATCAGTAAACAGATTCGTATTTAAATTCTGTAACTATATTTAGAATGCGTCAAGTAAAATACTGGGTTTTCATCTCTTTTTTTACCCATAAAGAGACAGTCCCAGCCAGGTAGTCCCATACAGGGCTGGGATTGGATCCCTGAGAAGGCTAGGGATGGCGCGGGGGCAGAGTTAGGAAGGAGGGTGACTTCTACCCTTGGGCAGCACCAGCTTCTCTGGGACATGGTTTCCCGTCTGGGTAAGATGAAGTCAGTAATCCTTGCCTCCCTGTGTCGTCATGAAGGCTTGGCTGTAACAGGGGTCCTCAGAGATGTGTAGTATTTATTTTTCAGATTATATTAACATTATGCTTCTGTGTTTGAGAAGTAAGGTCTCAGTTAGGTTTTGAACTGGTTGCTCCATAACAGGAAAATGCGTAAATCTTCTTGACTGGCTTGGCTTGATTTTTGCAAATTGGAAACTTGACATTCCTGCCAAAAAGACAGAGGAACTTTGATCTAGCAGATGAGCAAGGGCTGTGTGAGCGGGACCCAGGCTCCAAGGATGGTGGCTGCTTCTGCCAGGGATCAGAGGGCCAGGTTCTGGGATGCGGCCTTCAGTGTGTCTGGACCACAGACCACTCCGGCGTGGCTCCCATGGAAGCTGTGTGGCCACCAGAACCCAGGCTGGCCTAGCTGGAGAGGCCAGAGTGTCCCGGGATGCAGCGTGGGTCTGGGCGAGGGCAAGCATGGTGCTCTGGTTCCCTCCCGGGACTGACCGAGCCTTTCTGAGGCCTTCTGCAGAGGGCGGATTCTGGAAGCAGGGCCGACCATCCCCTAAGGTGGTGGTTCCACCATCTTTTTTTTTTAATTTTTACTTAATGTTTTTTATTTATTTCTGATAGAGAGAGACAGTGACAGTGTGAGCAGAGGAGGGTCAGAGAGAGAGGGAGACACAGAATATGAAACAGGCTCCAGGCTCTGAGCTGTCAGCACAGAGCCTGATGTGGGGCTTGAACCCACGAACCATGAGACCATGACCTGAGCCGAAGTCGGACACTTAACCGACTGAGCCACCCAGGCATCCCAGCGGTTCCACCATCTTGGCATCTCTGGGACACCCTCCAGGCCAGTGTCTTTTCTCACTCTGCGGCGGCAGCCTTTCTGGAGCCTGCTGCCCTGCCCTCCTTTCCAGTTCTTCCTTCTCACAGGAGCCAGCGATCTACCTAAAGCAGGCCAACCCTGCCGCTCCTCCGCTCACAGCTGCTGGGAGCCTTCTCACCGCTTTTGCCATTATGCCTTTGGGAGTTGGGCCTAAGATTCCCAGCTCCTTTCCCCGGAACCCTATACTCCAGTTAAGGCAGAATGCTCACTAGTTTTTTTTCACACTTCAGAATTTGCTCTGGTAGTTTTCTCTCTCCCCGGGATGCTTCAGCCGTTGGGGACGTGGTCAGTAATCACTTTGGAGCCCCTTGGCCCCCCTGACTTGGTCATGCTCTCCTTTCCCCCTCTTGATTGTTTTTATTGGACCATCCACATATGTCTGATTCCCCAGGGTGAGTTTTCTCGCCTGCAGGCACTGAGTCTGATCTAGCTCTCTGTCCTCTACCGTGCCTGACGGGCTAGGCACCGACTGCATACAAACTGACCAGACATTCTCTTCTCTGTCCTCTTGTTCTAGGTCTGGAATGAGGTTTCAGGGACCAAGGAGCTGTGGAGGTAAGTAAGGAAGAGCCAGACGTGGGCGGCAGCAGAAGTGTTCTGAGCACTGGTGTGTCTGCCTCTTGAGTACACAAGAAAGGATGATCCACAGCACCTACCAGTGGGGAGCTACCCCGTCAGGCATGTAGTAAACGCTTTCTTTTATAGTATATTGAAATAGAATAGATTTTATTAATTGAATGGGAGATTGACATATGTCAGGACTACAAACTTGGCAGATATATGCAGCAGATGCATATGGCCAGCTGGTAGAAGACAAATCAACAAACCACCTTTATTTTTTTATTTTGTTTTTATTCTTTAATCTTAAACATAGTATTTTATTCCTTTATTTTTTAATTAAAATTTTTTTTATTTTTAAATTTTTTAAATGTTTATTTTTGAGAGAGAGACAGAGTGCGAGCAGGGGAGGGGCAGAGAGAGAGGGCGACATAGAATCGGAAGCAGGCTCCAGGCTCTGAGCTGTCACCACAGAGCCCAGTGCGGGGCTCAAATCAGGAACCATGAGATCATGACCTGAGCCGAAGTCAGATGCTTAACCGACTGAGCCTCCCAGGCGCCCCCAAACCACTTTTATTTTAACTCATCTTTGGTGTAACAGTATAGCCGTATATGAACGCATGTGGTATTAGAATTTTAAAAAATTAAAAAAATTAAAGTTGAAAATAAAAAGTATCTTAATCATTAATTTATTGTTTTTCTTTCTTATTCTTTTTTCCTTTGGGACCTGACTCCTTTTGTCCAAGATAGGAGTGTCAGATCTTCTGTCTCTTGCTGAGTGTAAGACAATGGCCTTGGCTGTCAACTGGGAGCTGTATTTAGTTTTAGCCTCTTATGATGGAAAACAGCTGTTCACACACCAAGACTCTTCCAAACGTGAGGGGTCTCTGCCTGGTGGGTTTTGCTTTGAGGGAATGCTGTGTTGAGGTACTTGAGGATTCTGGACGCCAGGCCTGCTGTTGCCATGTTCAGTGTTCTAGAGCATCTGGTGCTTCTCATTCACTTTTTATTGCTAATAATACTCATTAGAAAAATGATGCTAATCTCTTCGGTTAGTTTTGAAGAGAGCTTATATCGGATTCCAGTCTTTTCTCTGCGGTTTGGGGAAGGTATTCTAGAGAGAACATTCAGTTCTGGAAATTGATTTCTCTGTAGGGTGCGGACACGATTTTGTCTTCCCAAATGTGATTCTCAGTGACGCTGAGGCCTGGGAAGTCCGTGGACTGGCTCCTGGGCTGGTGTATTTGTGGAAGTGAGCAGGGCGGTGCTCTGCGGTGTCAGAACAGGTAGGAAGCCACCCTAACCTGCTCTTTGTCACCTCTGCTGAGAAGCCAGGAAAGAGTTTGAGTGACAGGAGTGAGTTCCTTCAGCGGCTTGTCACCTAACCTCTGCTCGCACATCCCCTCTTGTGCCTCCAGGCGCCTCAAGTAGATAGTTTGGCTTCTGCAAACTGAGTCACAAACTGGTTTCAGTTCATCACTATTTCGTATTGTTTGGTGCTAAACTTTTTTTTTAGCATAAAATCATTCCTCAAGATTGTATCCTTGAACAGTGTGTTTAGGGGCACCTGGGTGGCTCAATTAAGCATCTAACTCTTGGTTTTGGCTCAGGTCATGATCTCACGGTTTGTGAGTTCAAGCCCCACATGAGGCTTTGCACTGACAGCATGACGTCTGCTCCGGATTCTCTCTCTCCCTCCCCTGCTCATGTGCATGCTCGTTCTCTCCCTCTCTCTCAAATAAACTTTAAAAAAAAAAAACCCACAAAACAAAAAACACTGAGATTATGTTTCTGAGCTGGGACAACAGCATTTCAGGAGCATTGTCATCGTGGTCACATGCATGTTTCTGATGCAGTGTCTCCTCGTGAGTGCCAGGCCCCAAAGTTCTCCAGGCCCATTAGAATTCTCATGGACACAGTAAATGAATGTAGTTAACTGGTCCTTTTATTTTTAATATGTATTATATAACTTTGTTTTGTTTTTTTATTTAAAAACATTTTTTAAGTTTATTTATTTTTAGAGTGAGAGAGAGAGAACAAGACTGGGAGCCAGGGTGCGGCAGAGAGAGGGAGGGAGAGAATCCCAAGCAGGCTCTGTGCTGTCAGCGCAGAGTCCGAGTGGGGCTCCATCTCATGAACCGTGAGAGCATGACCTGAGCTGAAATCAGGGTTGGCCCCTTAACCTACTGAGCCACTCAGAAGCCTCTGTATTATGCAATTTTAACTGGAAATGCTGCAGGTTCCTTTTTTTAATGCCTCATGACCTTTTAAATTCTGTTTCTTCAACACAGTTAAGCATTAAATGTTAGTTAGAAATAAAATCTCATGTCATGCTGTCTCTCTCAGAAATAAATAAAACGTAAAAAAAGGGGGGGAGGGGTGCCTGGGTGGCTCAGTCGGTTAAGCGTTCGACTTCGGCTCAGGTCATGATCTCATAGTTTGTGGGTTCGAGCCCCACGTCGGGCTCTGTACTGACAGCTAGCTCAGAGCCTGGAGCCTGTTTCAGATTCTGTGTCTCCTTCTCTCGCTGACCCTGCCCTGTTTTTGCTCTGTCTCTCTCTCTCTCTGCCTCTCTCTCTCTCTCTCTCTCTCAGCAATAAATAAAACATTAAAAAAAAAAAGAAATCACAAATATTTGCTTTTGTTTAAGGTATATAATTTCTATTGTATACAATAGATTATTAATTGCTATCTGAAAAGTTTTGATATTACAGTATTTTTTTCATTTGATGTATCACAATTCAGAGTCCTATCACATTCTTTATTCATCTTCATACTTCAGCCTTTTTGATGGTATGCCTGTATTTTTGTCAAATCACTTGTTTTTTCACTTCTCCTAAATATTGCTCATAGGTCCTACCTAAGTTTTGAGCGTGTAAATGTAAAAATAGGCTTAACTTCCACAAAGAAATGTGCCTTCTCCTCTTTATCTTAAGCCACATTATTTCTTGGTTTAGCTTTTGTTTTCACACTCTTTAGATTGAGGTGTGAGTGCAAGAAATTTCCTTTTCTTACCTCAACTCAGAGCCAACAACAGAAGGAGTGGTCCGAGGTGACTCGGTCTCACCGCCCAGAAGAGAAAAGAGACGGTGAAGCCAAGGGCTCGTTCTTGTGTGAAGAGTGCAGCTTTATGCAGCTCCAGACCCATTTGTCAGATGGGAGTTTTGGTTCAGCATAACCAGACCACCTGCCTTTTCTGATTTTTACTTGAAAACTCATGAGTTTTAAGTGTCGGCGGCTACTTCACTGGGCTAATCCTGTGCAAACCAAACAGTAACCTGGGGGTCCATTCTGCCCACAGGCCGCCAGTGTGCTTCTGATGGAGGAGCAGAGTTTCTACCCGCACAGTAAATCCCGTACCGAGCACAGGCACTGGACCCTCCTCCTTGTGTAAAGGTCCCTTGTGCCCAGCACAGGCCTGGTGGGGAGGTGCTCAGAGAGTGGAGAGGTGCTGAGGACTGTGTGCAGTACTTGGTGAGGCTACAGGCTGTGAGCCATGTGTTTCCCACCTGACCGTGTGTTCTCTGTGAGATAGGAATGCTGGGCTGGGGCCACACGATACCACATCCACTCGGGACCGTGAATGCGGGGAGCCTCTGCCCACAAAGCCTCCCTCGCCCCCTCCCAGCCAGACGTCCATTCTGTGCTCAATTCCCATAGCTCCACATGCTGCCCCTCCTGAAGTGACCTGTTTCTCCCTTGAACTTTTGTTCTGCTTCTCCTCCTCCTCACCACTGGCTGAGAGTGCCCTCGGCAGAAGCCATGTCTCACTCGCTTTGGTGCCACAGACCAGGTGGGGATTCCGTAGTTCTCCACAGGGTCGCTGAGCTAAGGTTTCTATCCTGAAAGTCTTGCGAGAGAGGTGCTGCCATAGAATTGATGGTAGTTGCATGGATGCTCAGAATGCACGCTCTTGGGAAATGGTGGATTTGCAGTTTTTCTTCTCCATAGAAGCAGTGAGGAAACTGACACAAATTGTCAAAATCAACTTTTTCAGGACTCTGGAAATTAACAAGAGATTTGTAGTACTCCAGGAAGTGTTCAGGAAGAATATTTTAATCTTAGAACACCAAGTTTCCTTGCCCTGTTCCAATAAGCCCCTCCAGTTGTGTGTCAGCCTTGAATGTCAGTGGCTCACAATCACAGGGAGACCAGGAGCCTTGCAGGCACTGGAGGGAGAAGGAAGGGATTGGTTTTTCTTTCCTGGAAAATTGTCATTATTTGAACTGCCTGGTATTTCTTGGAAGACCCAACGGGCAGACTGTTTTTATTTGGTCTGACTTCAAGTTCACCTCAGTGTGAAATACGATAGAAGAAATGACAAGGGAGTTAAAATAGTATACCCAAAAATATTTAAGGGGTGGCTCAGTTGGTTAAACTGACACTTGATTTCAATTCAGGTCATGATATTACAGTCATGAGATCAAGCACTACATCAGGTGCCGTGCTGAGTGTGGAGCCTGCTTGGGATTCTGTCCCTACCTTTCCCTACCTCCCTCACTTGCACCTGCACACACACACTCTCTCTCTCTCTCTCAAAAAAATAAAAATAATTTAAAAAATATTTAACACAAAAGAAGGCAATAATAGAATAACAGAGGAGAAAATTCATCAAACTTACAGAAATAAGTAGCAAAATAACACATAAATTGTGCCTTATCATTAATTACATTGTGTATTTAACGTACGCTCCAATAAAAAGAAGTTGTTAGAAGGGATAAACAATATTCAACTTTATGCTCTCTGCAGCAGACATACTTTAGAGTCAAGGACATAGATAAATTGAAATTAAAAGAATGGAAACATACACCATGCAACAGTAACCAAGGGAAAGCTGGAATGGCCATGCTAATATCAGACAAAATAGACTTTAAGACAAAAAGCATTCCTAGAGACAAAGCCATTTTATGACGACAAGTCAATCTACAAGGATCTAAAAATTATAAATGTATATGCACCTAATAACAGGAACAAAATACATAAAGGGCTGACAGAACTGAGAGAAGAAATAGACAATTCAGCAGTAAGAGTTGGAGACTTCAAGAAATACCCTTGAATTGTAGTTGCATGACCAAAGCTGCATGCCCTTGGCCTTGGGTCAGTTGTTAAAGCTCCCTTTCATGTACAAGGGGAACAGGATCTACTTCGTGGGAGTGTCAGGAAAACTGGCTAAATACATAAGAAGCACTGGGACACCTGATGGTGGTAAGTACTTGCTCAGTGTCACCTTGTTTTCTCCATTTTACAGTGGGGACAGTTGAGGCATAGGTAGGTAGAGTGAGTTGTCTAAGCTACTAGATGGTGAAGCCAGTAATCAAAGCTAGACCTGTCGACACCACAGTACCTTCTATCACCTGCCTGGGATCATGGGTCTGTTTTCCAGGCAGCTGTGTCTGAGACGCTGGTCGTCATGTAAAGCCTCCCAGATAACCTTGGGCACACAAACGTGGAAAGAGTACTATCTCTGCCGATCCGAGCTGGAGTTCCGAATGGAATGTGGGCGGCCAGAGAAGGACTTCATCTGCAAAGCCATTGCTGGGCACACAGGTCTGGTGGGGAATGTAGTCCTGTGTGCTTTCCCACTGCTCACGCCCCCTGGTCAAGTGTCGTGGGGTTTGACGTTCAGCCAGTGAGCAGGAAGGTGACGCTTGAGGAGTACATGCCCTGCTGTGTTCTGTATTTGCACCGTTTCACTTGGTGCCTGCGGTAATCCTGTGCCGAAGGGATCATGACATTTATTTCAGAGTAGAAAGAAACAAAGACTTGAGGGAGTTGTTTGTGGCTTTGTGAATGGGGGGTGGGGGCAGTCCTGGTGTGAAGCCCTAGCTGCTTTCTGCCCAATGCCGCCCCCTGCCAAACACCTGTTGCTCCCGAGAGTGAGCGCCCTGCCTGTCCTTCCCCGGTCCCGAGTGTCCACACCCCAGGGACCCACGTGTGCATTCGAGGCCCATCTGTGTTCTCTTCCAGGAGAGATAGACGAGCTGGCTTACATCTCAACCAATGCGTGCCGGTTTGATGGGCAGGGGAAGTCCACCGTGTGCACCGTGTCCTCGGACAGCACCGTCCGTGCCTGGGATGTGCAGGAGGTGAGCCTGCGGAGGGGCCAGGGTGCGACTCGCTGGATCTTAGTGAGGTCTTTCCCCTTCACCAGCTCATTCAGCAACCCCCCTGAGCACCCTGGAGGTGGTGGGATCCCCGTGGGACAGACGAGAACTCTGAGCTGCAGGAGGCCTGGTCCCACTTGGAACTCGGGTTGGATCGCAAATGGAGCCTGATCTGCCTTTGACTCCGTGCTGCCTGCCCTGGAGGAGTGGCCACTCGCCTCAGCGCCGATCCCTGACCTGCCGGCCGTGTCTGCTTTGGAGCCAGTACCCAATCTGGGTGGTTTTGCCCAGACAATTGGCACTTTTAGTTACCTCCACACACTTGGAAATACACATCGGTATTTTCACACTTGGTTGTCACGGTTAAAAAGCTTCCTGGTCCATTTTCTCACTTGGTTCTCACAGCAGCCAAGCAAAATGTGCATAATTATCACCCTGATTTTGTAGACCATCAGTCCGAGACAGAGAGGGAAGGTGTCTCTGAGTCTTGAGCCATGTGGTTCTCTGTAAATCCGTGGGTTCTGCACATGTAGACAGAACCCAAACTCCTATAAAGGACTTTTTCCTGGGTAACTGCAGATTACCTCACGACTTTCCAGGCCCTTGCTGCATTAGGTGGGGGGCGTGCGCGTGTCCCTGTTGGTCAGGTCTGCCAGAAGTGCCCCGCCCTGCTCGTGGGAGCCCCGTGCACAGAGGGCAGGGGGGCTCCCGACTCCGCCCCTCCCCCCACGGCCCCTGCGAACAGGGCATCCTGACTCAGCAATCAGTGTGCAAGGGAAGCAGACCACCGGGAGCTGTGGCTTTGCACCCCCGTGCCAGCCGCGGGGTCACTGCTTCACCCAGACGTCAGGTTAGAGTCTGGGAAGTGGGTGTGCACCACGTTTGGCCACATGGGGACGCTTGAGAGGCCACCTGAGGCCCCTAGTGGTGAGTGAGCCTCGAAGGCCCCTGCTGAGCTCCCTCCAAATCCGAGGGCCAGGGGGCCGGGGCAGGGTCTCCGGAGGGGAGGAGGGGTGCTGGTTGGGGGAACTTTGGGGATGGGCTATGGTTAGTTACAATTTATTTTGCTTTTGAATCATGAAGTAAAACACTGAGGTTTTAGGAAAAGCAGGACTAGGGAAGATTTCTTGAGCGAAACTCCCCTGCCTGTTCTCGGCAGCTCTTCCCAGAGGTGACCGCTGGTCGAGTGCTGTCTGACTTCGGTTCTCGATTCGCCAGTGTTGTGTTAGGAGATTCTGTGCCTCCATCTGCGTACTTCGGAGGACGTGTTGTCTGCCTGCTTTACAGAAACTTCTTTAGTTTCCAGGAGCCCATTGTTATCCCCTGTTGCTCTTTTTTGTTTAAAGGGTCCAGAATCATTTGTGTCCTTTCTCTCTGCTCCCTAGTCAGGTTTTCGGTTGGTGATGGTGGGTTCCTCTTTCTCGTGCCTGGTTTTCCTTCTCCGCACCAGTGTCCTAGGTCATTTTGCAGGAGGGCCTGCGTGTGCTGGGGTGGGGGGCTGCCCGCCTCCCTGTGGCTTCCCTGAGGACCACCTCGGCTGCAGACCCCTAGCCGTGTGGCTCTGGGTGGAGACCCAGGAGGAGACCCGGTGCTGCCCAGACACACGGATCTCAACTTGAAAGGGGTAGGGTACCTGGGTGGCTCAGTCAGTTGAGCATCTGACTTTGGCTTAGATCATGATCTCACAGTCTGTGAGTTCAAGCCCTGCATCTGGCTCTGTGCTGACGGCTGTGAGCTTTCAGATTCTGTCTCTTTCTCTCTCTGACCCTCCCCCGCTCATTCTCTGTCTCTCTCTCTCTTTCTCAAAAATAAGTCAACATTAAACAAAATTTTTTTTAAAAAATCAAAGGGGAGAGTACTTTGGTGCAGGCTCAGCCTACATGTTCTGGAAAGAGCCCTGTGGTCCCCGCTCAGCTCTGCCCACACGATGCCGGGAGAAAGCAAACGGAGAGCCGCTGTGTTCTGGAGGAGCTCATGGTGCAGCCGACAGCAAGCTGCACATGTGTTCATGTGTCCTGAAGTATGTCTTTGATTTTTTTTCCCACCAAAATACAAATATGGGCAGTGGGCTGAGCTGTACCTGTGTGTGGTGTGTTTTTCCTGCAAGGGCCTATTTCAGAGCCCAGAGCAGCCTGTGCACATTCTGCCTGGCTGCACAGCCTCAGTACTCTTCACGAGCAAATCTCCCATAGAAAAGGACCCTTCTTTTCTCCTGCGTCCACCACAGGGTGACCTTCCTGTCCCCACGTAATTATGTGTATTGTTAGTATTACAGCCATTGTGTAAAAGCTGTTCACACCAAGCCATGAGGCGAACTAACACTTTGCTTTTCTGGAAGCCACAAATATTCCTAATCTGTGAGACCACATTTTCGACTGGTTATACTGGTGTCTGAGCTGGCTGTCCATCCGGTTGTAGCCATTCCCCCCAGAGAACTCTAGGGTTTGAGTTTGTCTCTTTCTGGCATCAGGCTTAGTGCTGCCAGCAGAGCCCCCTTCCTTCCCATGGCAGGCGTGTGGCCCGCAGTCCCCGGTGCATTTCTGCGCTCCATCCCCCCGACTTCCTCTTCCACTTCGAAACCTGAGTCTCATGCCTCCTTCACTGAAGCGGTGTTCCTCCGCACCCCCACGGTCCCCCGTGAGTCGGTGCCCAGCTCCACTCGCCGCGCCCCTGCCAGTGGTGGTCCTCACCATGCTGCGCGAGCACCAGAAATCACCTGAGAAAGAAACCCATAGAGGTGCCGGACGTGGCCGGCTGGAGAGAGATACAGACCGTGGTACAATGAACACGTGCTAGCACAGGGTTGTAATGAGGTGGCCCTGGAAAGGAAGCCTGGGGGCAGCTCTGGGAGACTGGGAGCCGTGTGTAGTGGGTGGTTCTCTGTGCCCCCCCTTCAGGTACCCTGGGCCCATTGGCACCACCCATCCCAGTTTGTACGGCCCATTGGGTCACCCAGCTCGCATGGTTATGCGCTGTACACTGTTCACACCCACCAACCTGAGTTAGCTAATCTGTCGGTCGGGGCTGCCTGAGGACGGGAGGAGGGGAGAAGTTCTTTCTGTGCAGCCGAGGTGGCCCAGGCCGCGCTCCCTGGCCAGCCTTCCTTGGTGGAGCCGGGTAACCACCGAGTGCACACCCGGCCCCCTGCCCCCTGGCCCGGTGGTGCCTCTCAGCCCTGGGGAACTTGCGCACACCCACAGCTCCGCCGCTGCTCTGCAACCCCTGTGTTGTGTTCCTCGCCGCGCTGTGGATTCTGGGACGGGGGGACAGTGCTCTTTCCACCCGTGCGCATCCCGTGTGCACTAGGGAACGGTTGCATGAACGAAAACTACGTTCATGAAACGAACAGCCCCCATATAAGTTGTTACGTCCCTTTCATTGTTGCCCAGGGCACAGAGATCTGGTCAAGCCCTCTGCAGCCCGCCGCTCTGGTGAACGTGGTGACCTTCCCTCGGCTGCAGCTGGCCGTCACCGTGGACGAGCGGGGCCTCATCAAGGTGTGGGAAGCGGAGAACGGATGGGAGCGGGCCTCCTTCTGCCTGCCTACGTTCTCGTCTGCATTGCAGGCCTGCGACCATCAGGAGGGCCCCTTCCTGCTGGTGAGTAAGTGGCTCTTGAGCTTCACATCCTAGCTGTCCCCCCGGGTCATGGACACTCTGGTCCGTGACCACCATGATGGGGGGGGTGCCTGGAGGTAGGCGCTCGCTGTGGCAGACCAGGCGGTCATTCTACTGCCTGCACGGCCGGTCTCCCCAGGCCCCTCTGCCAGTCCCCAGGTGTCAGTGAGGCCCGGCCGTGGGCTGCCTCTGCCCTTGATCTTTGCCCCTGACCTTGCTTGTACTCTTCTCCCTGCAATTCCGTCTCTCTTCCGCATTCTTGCCCTTCCTTCCCTTTCCCAAGTCCCAGCTACCGTCCCGCTCAGGAGAAGCTGAGGCTTGTTTGACAAAACACGAGTATTTGCCCAGGACACCACAGGCTTCTGTGACCAGGGCGTCCACTTAGAAATGACGCGGGCATTGGGAGGGTGTGCCGGGAGAGACCAGCGAAGTGGGTTTATGGTGGCGGGTGGAGGACGTGGCTCTCGGCTGAGGCAGTGTCCACACCTGTGGGGGAGGAGGCCCTAGAAAGGACGGGTGGGCTGGCGTCCCGGATATCAGGAGGAGTGGACATCTTGGAGTGGCTTTACGTGTGCCCGGAACCACCTGGAAAGGGACTAAGCTCAGCAAACAAGACAAGTAACGTCTAGTGAAGCACTTCCCAGGAAGCACTCTGTCTGCAGTTGTTGAAGGCTTTAGAATAAGCGTGGTTGGCACCCCCAGATCAGTTTGAGAATGTGTCGTGGGTGAGGAGGCGCGGGACTGGTAGACCGTGTGGGCCCAGGTGCTTGTCTGCGAGGGCACCTGGGGGACTTAGAACGCACACAGCAGTGGAGAGCGGAGAGCGAGGCGCAGCCAGTGTCCGGGCCGGGGTTCAGGAGATGCGGGGGTGGGGGGGGGGGTGTTGCAGAGCCGGGCACTGTGGCTGCTTTGCCCTGGAGACAGTTCCCCCAGGGCAGCCGAGAGGCCGCAGACCTTTGAGAGTTGAGGGGACGAGTTGGGGTGCGGGGCCGCTGGGGGTCAGGCCCCCGGCCTCCCCTTGCACTGGGGTGTTGTCTAGCGGTGCAGCCCATGAGGAGGGGGTGAAGGTCGGCAGTGCCTGCCCTGGCTGCCGCCCAGCACCTCGGCCCCCTGGGAGGAGCTTGCAAAAATCCTTCCTGGGCGAGGATAACACCACCGAGGCCACATGTTATTTCCGTTTGCAGATGTAGCGTTCAGCACACACTTAGCTCTAACGGGGCCCGCGGGAGAGGACCAAGTACGAGCCACAGCGGCTGGTGAGCCACGGATGATGTCGGGAGAGCCACAGGGCTTCAGGCGCCTGGGTCCCCACACACTGAGACACCTGTGGCCGCCGTGTCCGGGGAGGTGACTTTGAGCAGAGAGCTCAGAGTATGAAAATGATGCAATAGATTTAGAAAAGAACCAAGTAGAATTCTAGAATGGAAAGATGGAGTACAAAGGTTAGCTTGGAGGGTTGCATGTCCTAGCTGGGTGGACAGTGGAATCGCTCCCAGATGGGGGTCTGAGGGGAGCCTGTGGGCCCCTGGCAACGCCCCGTTTCTTACTTGGGTGGCGACATGACTGTTTGACTCTGTGTTTTGTGCACTTTTCTGTCTGCGTGTTTTCTGCATCAGAGAAAAGTGAAGAAGAGAGGTTACGTGGAATGATGGGGGGATATCGAGTGAGGTGAGTGGGAAGAAAGGGGAGGAGATGGAGACAGTGCCCCTCAGGCTTTGGTGGGCTGTGACCTACCAGGATGTTATTTAAATGCAGATTCCGATTCGGTGAGTCCCTGCGGGTGACTAGATTCTGACTTTTTAACAAGCTTCTTGGTAGTATTGGTGTCACCAGTCCGTAGACGACACTTTGAGCAGCAAGGCGATAAAGGACCCGTGACAAATTCTAGTATTTGGCATCAGGAGCAGGTGAGGGAGTACATGGGTCAAAAGCAACTTTCGAACAGGTAATGGCAGACGTTTCCCCCAAATAGACAAAGGACATTAATCTCTGGAATCAAGAAGGCCTGTAAGCCCCAAGGGGGATAAACCAGGGTAGATCTGCCCACGGCCCGTCAGAGTGAACTGAGATTATCAGGGACCGAGAAAGCAGCCAGGGAATCGAGACGGCCTTCAGCGTCTGACTTGCTGGCAGCAACTGCGGGACCTTAGCGGCAGGAGAATAGTGTCTCGAAAGAAATACCTGCCGGCCAGGAACTCTGGAAGAGAAAGTGTCCCCGGGAACAAAGGGGAATAAAGGCATGGCAGATAAAATGGAGGATTAGCACCCGCCACACCACCAGTGGGACAAACACGCGTGGGGCTCGAAGCAGAAGGAAGACCGAATCCCAGGGTGGCAGGAGACGTTGACGAACAGCGCTGGTGGGGACGAGGCCGTCCGGGGGCACCGACTGGAACAGCAGTAACCGTGTCTTGAGGGTTTAAACTACGTGCAGAGAAAAAATACGTGGTGTCCGCATTTACATTAGGAGACAGTTACGAGGCACTAAACAGCCGAAGATCCTTGACTGGCGTGACAATTCACGTACCGACGGGCAGGGACGCTGTAAGGCAAGGCTGCGTGTGGCAGCCTCTTCCCTGACTCCCGAAGAGAAATGAAGGAGCACGTAACCTTTAAATCGTGAGGCGCAAAGGAGTAGGATCAACTCTGACAGCAGATTTGGCTTGATTATCAAGTGTGATGAAGCCACGTGAACCCCAAGAGGGAATGAAGAGGTAATCTGTCACATAGCAAGGCTTTGGGGGACAGTGGCTCCCAGGAGGCTGGTCTGAATGGCTGGAGGCCAGCAAGTGACCGGCCTGCTCTTCCTGTGGGTGGGGTAAGAGGCAGGGGGCAGGGGGAGGCTCCCACTCAGAGGGGGCGGCTTTCTGTGGTGCGAGTTCTCCACAGAGGCTCTTCGTCTGCTTGCCCTGATGGGGAGCAGAGGGGGGATGGGCAGGCCTGAAAGCTGTCAGCAGCCAAACCTCAGAGTGGAATCAGACTCCGATATGCTGCCCTCCTGATGCCTTTACTGTAATTCTGTCTTCAGGCCGCTGGCTGAAACGTGCAGATTTGGTCTTGAACCAGGACTTGTGGAAGCCATTTGTGCAGTGCCCCACGAGGCCCCCCCAAGGCTCTTTCAGGAGCCCCATGTTGTGTATTTGAGAAGTGAGTGAGCGCCTTGGTATGTCTGGGTCTCTGAAAGGGCTGGGGGTGCCTGTATATGCGGAGATGTGTGATGGCCATTTATGTCTGCGATGTGGGGGGGGCGGTCAAGAGTTGCTAGGTCTTCACCAAGAGGGAGAATTGTGGACGAGACACTTTGTTTCTGGCCACCATGCTGCAGCACTGGCAGTGACCTGGGAGTGTAAATGTGTGTCTGCACTGGTCCTTAGCTGAGGCTTCCCGGGCCAAGGTGACTGTCTGAAGTTGGGTCACCTTTACCGGGGATGTTCAGGGATGTCCCGTTAACGGATGGGCTGCGGCAGTGGGCCTGTTGCGTGTGATGGCCGCAGTGCTGCCTATTCCGTGTCGGATCCAGAGGGCAGCCTTCTCCAGGGTCTTTGCACATGACAAGGGTCTGAGGACAAGAAGAAGCCCCTTCCTCACACGGAAGGGAAGCCCAGCATGACCCAGGCCTCCCTCAATCCTCAAGATGCCGTTTTTATGTCAATAGGGAGGCTTCTGTGGCTATGCTGAGTCTGCAAGATGCTGCCTCCACAGCCCAAGGAAGTTAGCGTCTCGGGACCTCAGCACCAGCCACACGACAGGGCCCGCATGCGGGTGCAGCATTCGCTGGAGTGGGCGGTTGTGTGGACAGCAGGCTTTGGCCAGAAGCACTCGTGTTCTTGGGGTTGCCCTGTAGGAGGACGGGGGAGGATCAACTCCCTCCTGAGATTGGCTCAGATTTGGAGATTGCTACGTCTGTACGTGCACTGGGGGGAGGGGGGGGAGGGGATGGGGAGGGTAAAGACTCCCTAAATTCCCAGAGCCTTAGAATTTGACTTTGTTTGGAAATGGTGTCTAGTTAAGGATCTCAGGTAAAATCACCCTGGATTTAGGTTGGGCTGTCCACCTACTAAGGGAGGAGAAGGCACAGACACCCAGAGACGGCCCTGTGCACACTCAGGTGGACAAGTCAAGGAAAGCCCTAGGTCTTTGGAGGGAGAGGGCCCTGCCAGCACCTTGATATGGGGCTTCTGGTCTCTAAAACCATGAGAGAATTAAAAAATGTTTTTTAAGCCACCCGATTTGTTACTACAGCCCTAAGAAATTAATATAAGGCCCTAAAATGGAACATTGGGGCCCCTGTCTGGCTCATTTGGGAGAGTGTAAGACTCTTGATATCAGGGTTGTAGGTTCAAGCCCTGTACTGGGTGTGATTTTTTTTTTATATTAAAATCTTGGGGCGCCTGGGTGGCTTAGTCGGTTAAGCGTCCGACTTTCGCTTGGGTCATAATCTCGCGGTTCGCGGGTTCGAGCCCCGCGTCGGGATCTGTGCTGACTGCCAGCTCAGAGCCTGGAGCCAGTTTCAGTCTGTGACTCCCTCTCTCTCTGACCCTCCCCTGCTCACGCTGTCTCTCTCTCTCTCCTAGAAAAAAATAAAACATTAAAAAAAAAATTAAATTAAAATCTTAAAACAACAACAACAACAAAAACAAAAACAGAGCACTAAGGACATTTGGAATGAAAAGGATGGGAAAATGACACACCCTGGAGGTGCTAATTGAAAGCAAGTGGATAAGCTATTAATAATGTTAGACCAGAAGACTTCAAGGTAAAGGTCATTGCTGGATAACTGGGGATACTTTGTTATAATAATTAGATCAGCGTCCCAGGAAGATACAGCAAAGCTTATTTTGGATGCACCTCAAAATTGGCCTAAACATATATAGAACAAAATTTGTGGAATTTTAGGGAGAATGGTCAAGTCTACAGGCATTATGAGAAGTTTGTTACACAGCTAAAGGGAAGTGATCTGGGTGGGCCCACTGAAAACCCAT